CCTGACCCTTGGCCTAGATGCACCTCCCCTGGGGTCTAAGGGGGACCCCGGGGGGAGGGGAGGGCTGATCTGGTCCCTGCTCAGGAAAGTGGAGGCAAAGAAATCGTTAAATATGTTAGCTTTGTCATCTGGTGTGATGACCAAATTTCCTAGTGTGTCTTGCAGGGGCCCCACGTTACCCGGTACCTTCTTTTTGCCCCCTATGTATTTAAAAAAGGACTTCTTGTTGTCCTTGATCCGGGAAGCTAGTCCCAGTTCCATCTCCGCCTTGGCCTTCCTGACTGCCCCCCTGCATCCCTGAGCAACCGCAGTATAATCCTCCCTAGTGATGGCCCCTCCCTTCCATTGCGTGTACGACTCCCTTTTAGCTAGGAGACATTCCCAGATGCTTTTGGTGAGCCATGGGGGCTTTTGCACCCTCCTGCCCCCTTTGATCCGTGTTGGGATTACCTCCCTTTGGGTTTGGAGAATCGTCTTCTTAAGGAGCAACTACTCTTCTTGGACACCTGGGTCCCCTCCCCTCCGGGACCTCAGTGCTTCCCCAACTCTTCTCCTTAGCTCATTGAAGTCCACCCTCCTGAAATCTAGGGCTGCTGCCTTGCTGTAGGCCTTGGCCACCTTGTGTTGGGTGGTGAATTCCAGCAGGTGATGATCACTGTCGCCCAGGTGGTTGAGCACCCGCGGCCCCCTCACCAGGTCGTCACCCGTAGCCAGCACCAGGTCCAACAAGGCGTCTCCTCTGGTGGGGCTGTGCACCTCCTGGGTTAGATGAAGGATCTGCTGCCCCCAGACCCCAGCTCCCAATGTGTGGGGCAGAGAGTTGGTGTGGGACAGGGTGGGATGTGTGTGGGGAATGGGGGGCCCCAAGCAACCCCTTGCAGGCTGGAACTCTGTCAAGCTGCAAGGTAAAAGCAACAATTTCCTATATTTTTCTCCTTTAAAGAAGAATCAATTTTTAAAGTTTGTTTTGTTCATGACCCTTTCATATATTCTTGCAACCCACTTGTGGGTTGTGACCTATGGGTTGAGAAACCCTGACTTACAGGATATAAATACTGCACAGTAAGCAACCTTGGCTGTTCCCATTAACTTCTCCATTTAACATTCCCTTGTTTTTTTTTTTTGTTTTTTTTTCATATGGCTATGAATTATTTGCTAACAGCCAGCAGGATGGAGGGAGGATGGATACTTTGTGTAAGTTAAATCAGAAGACACTTTAAGACTACTGTAAACTCTTGTCAGTTGTTCATATTCAATCAGTGGTCATTAGCAGCTTTTCTCAATTAACCCCATGAGCTGATCCAGTGCAATTTTGAGGTCAGCTTTGGTATGTTTTTTTTGTTGTGTTTTGTGCTTGCAGAAGTATGGTGTCAGTCTGTAGCCCTGTGCTGAGTATTTGGGTGAAGTTTTATTGGGAGGAATGTAATTTTATCACATACTTCATGTGTTTGGAGGGGGAAAAACACTTTTGAAGAGTACCAGATATGAAAATCCTTTCTTCCTTAATGTCATTTAAGGTTAACAGCAGGGAGGTCTGCTAAAACTGTGTTCCAGCACAAGCTAAGAAGATGTTTGACCCAATAGTATTGTCTGTAGCCTCTTTCAGGATCATCTTTCATGACCATGCTCATGAGGGTATGGACAATCGCATGTGTTAAGTGTTTCAAATCCCAACCTAATTTAAAGCACTTCTGGGAGTGCTTCACTAACTACAAAGTATAGTCTGTGTCCCCTCCTGTCCACACCCCCACCTAAGGAATTTCCTAATGTGGAGGTGCTCTACAGCTGGAGGGCTGGTGAGCAGGTATCCTATAATGCCTCCTGATTACAATCCTTTGAATGTTTCTAGGGACAGGTGAGTGTCCATAGAGTCCTATGTAGAGTTGCACTGATAAAGATTCTTTGGGTCAATGCTGATGCCCAACTATTAATGAGCCATATCCCATCCCATGCCCTGCCCTGGCTGGGCAGCCCCAGCCCCACTCCCTCACTGCAAGGGCTTCATTCTGCCTGCCCCATCCCCAACGGACTTATCAGCCGGATGCTGCTGGGCTGGCCACGTGCATGCTGCGGCTGCACACAGCATTTATCAGTGACATTATTGGCTACATCAGCCAAAAAAAGCCAATTGACAATTAACATCAATTTTCCTTTTATTGGTGCTGATACGGTATGGACCAATGTGTTGATGCACCTCTAGTCTTATGGATATTTATACCTTGACTTTATCAACACTTTTGACATTCTTGCCAGCAAGCTAAGGAAGTATGGTTTGGAAGAATGGACTGTCAGGTGGATAGAAAACTGGTTGGATCATTGGGCTCACATGGTAGCCAAGTGGTTAAATGTCTAGTTGTCAGCCAGTATCAAGTGTCCTGGAGTCGGTCCTGGGGCTAGTTTTGTTCAATATCTCCATTCACGACCTGGAAGATGGGATGGAGTGCACCCTTGGCAAGTTTGCAGATAACACCAAGCTGTGGAGAGTAGTAGATACAATGGAGGGGGTAGGGCTAGGATTCGGAGACACAAATTGGAGGATTGGACCAAAAGATAGCTCATGAGGTCCAATAAGGAGAAATGCAAAGTCCTGCACTTAGGACAGAACAATCCCAAGCACAAGTAGAGGCTGGGGACTGACTGGCTAAGCAGCAGCTCTGCAAAAAAAGACTTGGGGGTTACAGTGAACAATAAGCTGAATATGAGCCAACGGTGTGCCCTTGTTGTTTAGAATGCTAATAATACACTGGGCTGCATTTGTAGGAGTGTTGCCAGTAGATCAAGGGAAGTAATTCTTCTCCTCTATTCTGCACTGGTATGGCCACATCTAGAATACTGTGTCCAGTTTTGGGCCCCCCACTACAGAAAGGATGCGGACAAATTGGAGAGAGTCCAAAAATGGTTAGGGGATTGGAGCCCATGACTTCTGAGGAGAGGCTGACAGAACTGGGCTTATTTATTCTGGAGAAGAGAAGACTGGGAGGGGATTTAATAGCAGCCTTAGACTACTTGAAGGGTGGTTCTCAGTGGCAGCAGATAACATGGAATAATGGTTTTAAGTTGCAGCAAGGAAGCCTAAGGTTAGATATGACAGACAACTTTCTCATTAGGAGGGTAGTAAAACACTGGGATAGGTTACCCAGAGAGGTTGTGAATTTCCTATCCTTGGAGGTTTTTAAGTCCCAGCTAGACAAAAGCTGTGGCTGGGATGATCTAGTTGGGGATGGTCCTGCTTTGAGCAGGGGGTTGGACTAGATGACCTCCTGAGGTCCCTTCCAGTCCTAATTTTCTACGATTCTGTGATCTCTGAGTTTTTGCTCAGTGCTTCCTGCTTCTGCAGGGTTGGGTTCTAGCATCCATGCTCCTTCAGGTCTTTTTTTCTATGCTGCTGCACTACACTTTTGATGGTTTTGAAGAAGTCATATACACAAGATCAGATGGCAGACTCTACAATCTGTCATGTCTAAAGGCCAAGACAAAAGTATGGCACATACTTATTAGGGAGCCCCTTTTTGCTAACGATGCTGCACTCCCCGCCCATGAAAAAAGCCAACTACAAATACTCATGAATTACCGCTCCCAGGCTTGCAGGATGTTTGCCCTGGCCATCAGCATCAAAAAGACTGGTCCTAGGACAGGGTGTTCACCAGTCACCCTTTATCAGCCTTGACAACACACCTCTCGAGGCAGTGAATAAGTTCTGCTACCTCGCATCCACAGCAAGTGACATCCTATCACTGGATGAAATGCTAAATGTGCACATTGGAAAGGCAGCTACCACTTTCAGTAAGCTCTCCAAATGAGTCTGGAACAATACAAAACTCACAATCAAAACTAAACTGCTTCTGTACAAACCCTGTGTCATTGATGTCCTTATGTATAGCAGTGAGACATGGTCAGCATATGCTTATCAAGAAAAGAAGTTGAACAGCTTCCACCTATGCTGTTTATGGCACATCCTTGACATCAAGTGGCAAGACAGAATTGCCAACACAGGTCATTACTAAAGCTGACCTGCCAAACATCATTGCACTACTCAAACAGCGGTGCCTACGCTGGCTTCGCCATCTTTGCAAGATGGAAGATGGGAGCATCCCGAAGGACCTCCTGCATGGGCAGATTACAGGTGGGGAGAGAAGAGCTGGGCTCCCAAAATTGTACTTCAGAGACGTCTGGAGGCGAGGTATGGAGACTTTTGGAATTGGTGCAAACCTTTGGGAGGCCTTAGCAGGAAACGGCACAAAGTGGTGTTCCCTTCACAATCATGGAGTCCAACATCACAATGAGAAATGGTCACTTGAATTACAAGAGAAACATGACCAAAGGAAACAGGCTGTTGGTATATCAGCCCCTCATGCCATGTACACCTGTGACCACTATGGCAGGACCTGCAAGTCTAACATTGGTCTCTACAGCCATAAGAGAAAATGCACCACCAATCAGAATAGTTGCAATATCCACCATCACTCACTGATGAATGGATGCCATACCCTTCCTTTGCAAGGTGGGCTGGTTTCCTGTACATCACCATCACAGCAGGAGCACAGAATGGGCCCATACCGTCTCCTTGCTCTCCAGTTTTTTTTTTCTGAAGTGCAAGGTACTGACCCTGGTCAGGGTGGCAAGTCTTCATCTATTTCTACATAATTTTGTGTTCTCTACCAGTTTGTCCACCACCTGACCTGGCATGGCTACTAAATTCCATGACCCTGGTAGTCAGAAGGTGCCACCTCAAGCTGTACTACATGCCTTGTGTGTCTGATAGCTGCATGCTAGATATGCGAAAAATAAGGACACTGGCAGGGACATCCTTCTCTGGGACCACCTTCAGACTGTACTGTTTCTGGCAAGATACATGAGCAGTGACTGGTAGGAATGGATAATTCTGGGAACCTGGGGCCATGAGCAATAGTGGCAGAACTTCAGGATGAGTTGCATTTTAGAGATCTGCACTAAGCTGGCCTTGTCTCTCAAGAGGCAAGCCAGCAGTTGTCACCTGGAAGATGACAACTCCCATTGGCTGCCGTTCTGTCACCAACCAACTTTGGTGTGGTAAAGTTCACAGTCAGATCAGTCTTTCTGGTGATGTGCTGCAGCATCCATAAAGGTTCTGGCACTGCACTTCCTCTGGTTCTCTAACCACAAGAGGTTGTAGCTGGATTTGCCCAGATGGCTTGGGGCCTGCTCTAGCTATGGCTGAAACATCTGGGGAAAGGCTTGGGCATGAAAGGATGTAGGCTGGAAGGCAGGGGCAGGAGATGGCAAAGGGTAAAGGGAAGCTGCCTGTTTCACGAGGTGACTGATTTCTGTGACTGTGTGGTGAGAAGCCATGGCCCAACTACAAGGGCTCAGGTGGTGGAGGTTCACAGGCCTGGCCTTGTCAGGGGTGGGGCCAGGGGTGTATAGGTCAGGTATTGCTTGGGTAGCTACCTTTCCTTCAAGAATTTGTCTAATCCTGTTTTTAATCTGGTATCATAAGCATTTCCTTCAGGTGGCTGGGCTTTGGGCATTAAGGCAAGGACAGAGTGTAGTCAGGAGAGAAGGTGGCAGGAGGATGGTGTGGATGTCGGGGTTGTGTAAAAGGGCCGTAGGTCCCTTTTAAAGGGAAAGTCAGTCTCTTTGAGAGAGCCCAGCTACAGGGCATTTGGATGATGGAGTGTCCCACTGGGAGTTTAAAACCCCAGGGGAGAGACCATAAAGGATGCAAATGCTGAGGGAGCAGTTTACAAGTAGAAAGCTAGTCACATTGCTATGCTGGAGTCTGAGCCAAAGACTCCCTCCTAATGCCTGAAACAGGCAGAAGGGTTTGATTTCTGTGGGGGTTTCTGTGTGTGCCTTGTGCCAAAACTGTTCTTTATTTGGTAGGATTGGCTGAGAAGCTCCTTGGGGAGGAAAGCTCCCCCTCCTGCAGGAACCAGCAGGCAGGTTCCTACCTTACCTGCATACAGGTGGTATGTTGGAACAATGGCAGGAGGGCTAGTTTTGATGGTAGCAGGGCAGTGGGGTGAGATGCTCACAGTATGTTTGGTTGGTTGGGTCCTCCCTCAGGTTGGTGCTATCTGAGCCGTCCTGTCCTAAGGGCTGGTAAATACGTTTGTCAGTCCTAAGTAAGAGAAGGGAGTCCCCAAGATACTATTGACCTTCCTGGGACTACACTTCAGCTAGGATGTGGCTTTGGGCCTTATTGTGGTTCTTTGGGTCCATGTTATAAATAGGGACCTACCTGAATTGCAGTGGAAGTTCACAGCATCTTTAATCTCACTCTTCTGGCCATGTGCCTCCACCCCACCACTGAGTGGCCAAGAGTTAATGCTGCAGTTTTTGCGTCTTGGCCACTGCGGGGGAGGGAGGAAGAGACAGACAGTGAAGCACAAGGCTTGATGGACTTGTCTTCTGCAGAAATCTTCAAGAGTTCCTTGTAGCATACGTGTGTTACCTGCCAGGTACCTGAAACACGGTTAGTGTCAAAAGACCTTGTTCCATGCCTTCAGGATCTTTCCCCTTGCCCAGAACTGATATTGTTCCTAGTTGTGGCTCTGAGCTACCATCTCAGCCATAATATGCTCATACACGGTCTGATTGCAGTGGCTTTTCCTAAGGAACCTTTGGGTCTCTTAGCCCCTGTGGGGAGAAAATCCGGAACCTCTGCTCAGTTGATATTGTGCTGTGTAGTGTTATGGTGGCGGTTGTGTTTTTTCAGGTAGTGTGATATAGTGGATGAGGAGGTGCTTGAGAGCATCCTGCACTCGTAAGCCAAGTTTATGGGGTAGTGGTCCTGATTGTTGCCACTGCCTGCCAACACACCTAACTTTGAAAATGAGGAGGTGACATATGGGACCCAGGCCTGTGTCCCGGGACAGTGAAGTAAAAGCGAGTTGCAAATGGGTCACATGAGGTAAGCTGGGGAGGGAGATACCAGAGCACTATGGGATGTCAGTAGACTGACCAACTCCTCATTCTGTGCTGGAGCAGACACCGTACGTGCTGTGTTTCACAAGGGAATGCTTTATAGTTGTTCCTGTTTTATCTGGGATCATTTTTATATGGTTCAAGTTAATACATAGCGTTTCATCTCCGTGTTGTTTGTACCCTCATATTTTAGAATGCTTTAGAGCAGGGGTGGGTAAAATGTGGCCCGCGGGCCAGATGCAGTCTGCCAGGCTGTTCTATCTGGCCCGTGGGGCCCCTAAAAATTTAGAAGATTAATGGTTATCTGCCCCTGGCTGCCTGTCATGTGGCCCTCGATGGCTTGCCAAAACTCAGTAAGCAGCCCTCTGCCTGAAATAATTGCCCGCCGCTGCTTTAGAGTTTAGAGGCACTTGGGGGTCTTACAAATGTTTTATCTGTCCATATCCTAGCACACGTAGCAATACCCACTGAACCCAACTAGCTTAGGAAAAAGTACCTTTAAATTTTGGTTTTTGATGCAACTAACAATATTGTAAAGGAGGTAGATAAAGTCCCTCATGGGTGTTAAATGTTATTTCAGGTCATGTGAATCGTATATATATTTTTAACTATTCACGACAGCACTTGTGAAGCTTTGGGCCTGGTTTCATTTTAGTATTTTAACTAATATCTGTCTTCTTCCAGGGAGATCCCAGGACAACGTCAAGAGGATGTTCAATGATGTGAAAAACCATTATTATTTTCTATTATTCTCCTTTCTTTCCTTCGTGTTTTTGCTATTTTCTTTTCCTCCAGAGCCACTGAAAACTATTTTTATATACATCATCTGATTTATTTAAAGTTCTACTCCTTGGTACATTTTATAGAAAAATTTTAATGAAAAAACTGCCAGAATTTTTAATCAATTTCTTTTTCCCTCTTTGAAAATACTATTGGAATGTAGTTCTTCCCCTCCCCATATTACGTCTTTTAAGTCTTATGTACAGATCTGCAGCAGAAAGAATTTTAAATTAAAATGGGACAGAATTCATTGAGTGCATGGTAAATATATCATTATTTAACAAATGTTTTTTTTTTGTTTTCCAGTGAAGTTTAGGGAAATGTGAACATGTGTCCCAAAGACTACCCAAAGTGGGTACTTCCTTCAGCACTGTAGTTATTTAAGAATCATAAGGCCCTTTTAGTAACTAGAATTTTATGTATGTGAGGAAAATAACACAAAATGTATCACAGATATTACTTCAGCTGTAGAAACTACACCAGAGACTGGATTTGTAGACAGGGCTTAACTCGGGACCATGGCATCTAGCCCCACTGCAAAGAGAACTAGACCATGTGCTGGTAAAAACAGTGGAACCATGTCAACACTATAGTGGTGGAGACTAATG